AATAAGTCGGGATCTCGAGATAATAAGTCGGGATCTCGAGATAATAAGTCGGGATCTCGAGATAATAAGTCAGGATCTCGCGATAATAAGTCGGGATCTCGCGATAATAAGTCGGGATCTCGAGATAATAAGTCGGGATCTCGAGATAATAAGTCGGGATCTCGCGATAATAAGTCGGGATCTCGCGATAATAAGTCGGGATCTCGAGATCTCGACTTAGTTTCTCGGGATCTCGCGATAATAAGTCGGGATTTCTTTCCTTTTTTTTTTTTCTCCATGTCCCCTTAGGGGCTCCGTAGTAATCCTAGCTCATCCAGCGTATCGTTTTTAACTTGCTCTTTTAACGTGAGATAAGGTAAGTGAAGCTCACCACTATGTTTCCCTTCTGGATGCAGACGGCCCCGGAGCCTTGGATCACGCTGTCCAGCACCTGAACATCGCTGCTGGGGGAGTTGGAGCAGTTCGAGCGGCCCTGTCGGATCTCCGCCTCGATGTCTCCAAACTTGAAAGCGCACAGCGCAGAGTTTCTGTCCGCCTTGGAGAACACTCCAAACAGATAGGGCTCCGGGCCCCCACCGCTCCCTCCGTGGACCTCCGCGGGGTACACGGACAGCAGGCGGTTGTAAATGTTCCCGTTAGCTCCACACTGCAGAGGCATCTGAATGTAGGACTCGGTGAGCTTCTTACTCTCCGACCCGGTGGACTTTCGGGGGATGTCGCTGTCCAGACATATCCGAGCCAGGATGCTGTTCGGCTGGCTCTCCTTGTGGCCCATTTTGGCGTCGTTGTTAAAGGCGATGTAGGAGTAAGTTTTCTGGATGAAGGCGTGAACGAAGTTGAGCTTGTTTTTGGTTTTGACCTCTTGTTTGATTTTGAACACATTATCCTCAGAGGGGTTGATGTCATAGGTGAACAGCCTGGATAGATCCTTGACGTTCAGGGAGCGGATTGCGATCTCCGGCGTGTTCTCAAAGCGCAGGTCCTCCTTACTGTGGTTCTTTGGGAAGAACTGAGTCCCAGCTCCTGTGTATGTGGCCCCGACTAAAAGCCGGGTGTTCCCCCCGTGGCTCTTGAAGATGAGCCCCACTGTGGACGCGTTCGGGTGATTCGCAGCGATGTTGAGCATGCTGGGGAAGACGGTCTTTTCGCCCTGAGGTGGGAACTCCACCGCTATCTCTGAAATATTTCCCATCCTCCGCAGCTCGCAGAAGCCTTGGTACACAGATCCACACATCACCACGACCCCCTGCTCCCGGTCGAGCTTCAGGAGCTTGTTGTAGTTGTCAGTGAGGGATTTGGGATGCTCGCACGGAGCCTGGGGCAGCTGTGGCGCATGGCACAACAGGTTGTCCTCCACCGGCCCCGTCCTCTTCACCACCTCCACGGTCAGGGTCCCGTTGAGCTGGTACACCGTGTTGACAGTGGCCAGGTAGACCCTCCTGGACACCGGATCCACCACGAAGTTATTGGTGAGGTTTGGAGACGCGAACTCCTGCTGGATGTGCAGCGCGCTGGCGCTCCTGCGCGTCTCCAAAGCCAGGACGCCGAGGAGCAGGACGGCTATCTCCATCGAAGGAGGCATTCTTCCTTCTGACCGGCTTCCGCGTGTTCTGTGCCGAGGGGTGCATTGAGCAAGGACAAAAATGTATGTTTGTTCCGACGGCGACAATCCGAGAGGAAAGGCTGTTTCCTGCTCAACGGCCGAGCCCAGAATGACGCGATAAACGAGTCGTGTTTCCTTTTTCAGGCTGCCTCCTCTGCCTCTGTCCCCCTCTGCCCGCCGAGCAGCTCAGCAGAGACACATTAGAGTAGTCTAGTTACACATTTTTTCTTTAAATAAAACTACTTAAGTGTATATATTTTGTGATGCGCAATTTACAGACATTCTCTGAAAACAAAACTTGTTTGCAGTCACGTTTCTCTGCAATATTGATTAATAACGAAAGCAATAATAATACATTCCTAATATAATAAAACTTGCTCTTTCACAGAAGCAGGGGTGTCATCTCATTAACCGTGATGAATGGTGCTGCCTCCCTGATATGACATATATTGTCCTTTGAGAGCACTCTGTCTGCCTGATTGATCTCTGCTCTCATATTTTCGATTTTATTATCAAAACATCAACTCGGGTGCAACAGCTGCTAAAAAAAAAAAAAAAAAAAAAAAAGCCAAATCGCTCATTTCAACTTTTACAGTCACTTTTTAAAGTTCACACACCGATGTAAAATGGCAGATTTTGCTGAATTACCAGAACGAGATCGTGAAAGTAACATTTTAAAAACGTTTTACACCTTTAAAGTGTCTTGTATCCTGTGGAGCTTTGCTTAAAACATAGAAATCTAAATAGAACAATTAAAAAAAAAAGATGCAGCAGTTTGGCTGCATGGATATGAAAGCACTATTTGTTTCAAACACAGCATCCAGACTTTTTTGTGGGAGTCATTCAGCAACCCACATCTTGACCTGCAATATATACCCACTCGGAAAAGCGTTCCTAAACTTTCAGATGGTGATGATATCTATTTTAAAGCCACTATCTTTAAGGAATCCCATATATTTTGGACTAACTCAATCTAAGCTGTTTATTGGTTTATTTGGACGTATGTTAAGCTCACTGTGAGACTTACAACTAAAATCACCTTTAATCTTTAGCTCTCTAGCAGACACCTGAATGTCAAGGGTTATACCTGTCTGATATTTAAACTGTTCCTTATTTTATTGATTTTGACCCAAACTGGTTAGTACCATCAACCCACATCATGCTGTTGCCACCACTATGTTCCAAAATGGCCATTTTGTTCTTTTGATAATACGCACTGTTGTTGTTGTTTTGTTTTTTTTTTGTGCCAAATACTTTCCATGTAGCATCTAAAAGAAAATACTTCTCCCTTTTCTTACTGAACTTTTAAAGTTCACACACTGAGCTTTGTGTGAACTTTCATAGACTGAACTAAGAAAAGAGTAACTTTCTTAAAACCTCTAATTCATTGTCTCACTGAAAAGAAATAATTTGTTGGTGCACTTCTCCTGGACAGATGCACTGATAGACGTTAGAGGCTCTGTTCCCTTTCTGTACCTTAACTTTAGCTAAAGATGCAATTTTTCAGGAGGATTCTACAACTGTTTTTTCAGCTTAGTGACTTTTCCCAGTAGAGGATGTTTGGCATGTACCCAAAAAGACTGAACGTTGGTCAAAATCTCCATAGAGCAAAGCAACAGTTCAGTCATTTATTATGATTTTTAAATACCTGTTTGTTTGTTTTTTCACGCAAGTGCGCAAACTAATGATTTCCTTTTGAATGTAGGTTGCCATCAAGATGAGCCTCCACCACCGCCATCCTGGTAATCCTGGTATTGTGGTTCCGCTCATCTCGAGGTTAATGACGGGTCACCGTCCCACCTTCTGTGCTCTCCAAATCGCCCGACTCTCAGATTAGTTCTGCAGATCCGAAGGGTTCCGTTTTGGGCACAGAAGGCGCGGTAAGAACCGTGAAAGTGCAACCAGATGGACGCGTAAAGCGCACCTTTCCGGGCTCTGACATCTACTGCGGATTTCTTTCAAGTCATAAATATTTCAAGTCCAAACACATGCACCCCCGACTCCAAAAAAAAAAAAAAAAAAAAAAAAATTAAAAAAATGGAAATATTTTTTGATTTTTTGAAATCTGGAAAAAGAGACC